TCCGGGAAGGGGACTCAGAACCAAAATCACTTGGTTCAGTCGCTCCGGTAATCCACACTGCCCGGTGTTCTTCCTGCGGAGCCTGGGGAGAGCAAGACCTGCACAAGGCAGAGTTCTCACCTCTGATTGTGGGCCCATCACACGCGGGCCTGTCATTCCTTTGTTTTCTAATGAGAAGGTTGAACCCCATCATCTCAGGAGCAGCATGATTTCTTGGAGCGTCTGAAAGCTTTGGAGCCAGACAGCCCAGGGCCCAGGCACCGACCCTGTCTCATATGAGCTGCGTGAGTTCAGGCAAATGACCGGCCTTTCTACACCTCAGGCTGCAACTCTCTGTTATGTTCACGTTAGCAATACCGCCCCTTAGAATCGAGGTGATTAGATGATGTAAGAGGTGTGCAGTGTTTACTTCATGTCCAACCCACAGTTAGTGCTGAAAATATGTTGGACACTGTTGCTACTGTGATGTTTCTTCCCCTCTAAGAACCTGTGACGCTGTGAGTGAAATGCAGAGAGCTGGGTAGATGCGAACAGGACAAATGGGATGTGATTTTGCAAAGTCCTGCTAAGCACACTGGTCCGTGAGGGAGCCAGAGACCTTTAGACATACACCTTGGCCACACGTGTCACCGGGTGGTCCGTGCAGGGTGGCTGCTGGGTCTTCAGTCTCTGTCAGCCCCACGCTCCCAGCACAGCCTGGTCCCGGAGCCTGATCCTAGACCTCCTGGGAGCTTGGGAGGTGCCTCTAGCACTCTGTGCACCCAAAGTGTCCTGGAGCTGCAGAGATTCAGCTGGTCCCCCTCCAAGAGGGGCCCCCGAGAGAAGTGTTTATTTGCATCAGCTCAGAGGTTCCCTGGGCTCTCTGAAATACTGGAACTGTGGCCACTGTTGGCCCCACACAGGACATGTAGGTGGATTTTGATGAGGCATTTTATCTCAGTCCAGTGGAAGCGAAGGTCAAAAGACCAGGCTTTTCCACTTCAGTGAGGTTCCGAGAGCCAGATTCAGAGACAGCAGGTGGAATGGTGGGGCCAGACGCTGGCAGGAGGGGTGGACAGTCAGTGCTTCGTGGGTCCAGAGTTTCAGTCTCGGGTGATGGAAAAGATCTGGGACTGGATAGTGGTGGTGGTCACACAACACCGTGAATATGCACAGTGCTGAATTGTACACCTACAAGTGGTAACTTTTATGCATATTCTACCACAAGGGGTAAAAAAATGTAGTGCATGGACTTGACTGTTCAAGCATGAGCTACAACGTTCCTACCTGCTCTTTGCCTCTTTCTTTTTCAGGCGATGCTGCAGAAATTGGTCCCTTTATAGAAAACTGTAGGTATGAGGCATGGTCCCAGGTGCATAAAACTCCACAAAATGAGTGTTAAAGAAACGCAATAAATCAGAATTGCCTTTAAAAGCTTCATAGTTTCCCTTGCTAGAACTGAAAGCCCATAACATTAACACCCTCGGAACAGGACGCCCTGCAAGGAAGGACTCCGGAGGCCCCTCAACCTTTCCGCTGCTGCAGGCATCAGGGTTCCATGATGCTCTCCCCCCAGGGAACCCCGCCCCCGCTGCCCACAGAAAGGCTTCTCCCCACCGGGCTGCCCCCTAGATCCCCCAGTCTCTGCACAGCAGAGCAACCACAGGGCCTGGGGACCTAGTGGGATTTGAGGAAGGCCGGGTTTGCATGGGTTTGCGCCAAATATTTTCAGAGGAAATAGCAACATTAAAGACACGGCTGGAGAAAAATTCAGGCAGGAATTTTTTTCTAGTGAGTCAAAGGCACTGATTAAAAGCACTAATTTCAAGAATTTTGTAGCTGTCTCAGAATTATTCGACTGCTTGTTAGACCTCTCCAGCTTCATCTCCTTGCCTTCAAAGGCCTGTCGGGAGGCTGGAGAGGATAAAAGGAAAAGTGATTAGAGAGAAGGAAAAGAGAGCAAGGAAGGAAGGTTTGAAGTGCTGAGAGTCTGCAGAAAGGAGCTTTGGGATGAATAACACTGCCTTCCAGTCTGGGACGCACTGCTATCACACATCTGAAGCACTGCTGGTGGGCAGAACCCAGACCGCTCTTTCCAGTTCTCGGAAACTGAGTGTGGTGCCTTGAAGACAGGGTTTGAAGGAAGGTGAGGATCTGGTCAGCCAGGTCCTCTCCAGATAGGCAGATATTTCTAGAACGCCCACAGGTGTGCCCTGCTCAGGAGAGAAACAGCTGAGAAGGTCCAAGTGGCCCCGAGTTTCTCATCACCATCACTGGAAAACCAGATCGAACACCAGCAGTCTTCAGAAACGTGAGAGAGGAGACATGGTCCTGCTAAGAGGAAGGGAAGGAAAGCATCCGAGGGAAAACCCCTCTAGAGCCATTGAAAATGGTCGTGCAGTTTCTGGAGGTGTGTTTTTAAATGTGACAGCTGGTAAGTGTCCTGGAATCTGCTTGCCCCAGACCAGAGACTTCTTTCAGGGCACATCAAGCTTTGGCAACGAAGGTGCAGCGACAGAGGGTAAATGAGTTAGAATGATCTCAGTGGAGTTGCAGGAAATTGTTCTCAATAATCACACACTGAGTGAGTGACTGCGTATTTTCTGTCCTTGCCATGAGTGAAGGGCATTTTCTGTGGACCCTGAGAAGGAGGGAGTAAGGAGCTGTTGGAGGGGGCGCTTCCCAACAAAACGGGACAAAACGGCACTTTCTCAGCTAAGACTGGGAGCTGAAGGTCAGGGCAGCCATGCTCTTAGATCATCAAGTCGGGAGGCGGGCAAAGTGGGGCTGGTGATGGCTGACTGAGACCCTGTTTTATGCCAGACTGGGTCCAGAGTGGCATTCTTCTCTCCAGGATTGTCTGGGGCTAATTCTTAACAGTAGTTACAGTACAAGTTGCCTTTGTAGAAGTTGTAATAGTGATCAAATCATAGTTGTAATCAGCTACACTTTTCAGCGCGTTTTCTGGGCCAGGCCTTACTCTTGACACACAAGAAGGTGTTCTTTCAGTCACAGACTGAAAAGATGAGAGAAAAACTGGCTTCGCGGAGTTAAAAAAATAGTAAATAGAGATGCTGTGTATGCCTATGAAGGAATGCCTTTCCCAGCTCTGCTCTGGCCAGCTGCATAAAGGGCCACATCGGGAGACCCTGCTGGCCCCCACCCCTTTCTGCTCTGTCCTTGCTCTTCGGGGAGCCCCCCTTCAGTGGCACTGACCAGAAGGAGATTGATTTAAATGGTTAAAGTGGATTAAAATGCACCGTATCTT